GAGAAACCAGCCTGGTCCGACCAGCCCAAGTAGGGTGGAAGGAGTGGTGGAAGGTCCAGGTGGAAGGTCCAGCTGTTTGTCAATGTTTGTCATCTTGACCAAAAGACCAGAAGGCCTCACAGCTTTCCCAACAGTTTGGACATGTGACATGAGGTCATCGGACATGAGGTCATCAGAGATTCCAGTCTGACTTCCGATTCGACGCTTCTACTTCTCTTCCAGTGGTCGTGAAAGTGCAAGGCAGACGTGACGAGGTCAGACAAGATGATCGAAAGCTATGGGTGCTTTGATGGATATTTCACCCATCAGAAGTGCTCCCAAGACAACTCCTCTCATTTTAGTTGGGTAGTGGGTGGGAGAGTAAGTGTTGTCTTTCAAAACCCATTGGGCCCAAAGACGTTGTCAGGATGCACTTTTACCTTCAAGACTCCAAGACCATTCGGTTGAATCATGTCACGTCCCAGCACCCTTGCCACGGAGTACTTGGTAGCTTTTTCCATGCCCAAACACTCCATGTATATGCCATATATGCCTACATTGACCCCCAAAACCACCCCAATATAGGCACATATGGCATACATGGAGTGTCTGGGATAGGTCAATAACATAGAGCATGCACCGCTTCGATGGATCTCCTGACCGCTTCGGACTCCGCTTGATTCGTGGGGTTGCCGAGGAATTGCCGCTTCGTGCGCAATCAGGCGCGGGACTGCCCCCGCGACACGCCCAGGAAATGGCCATCAAAGCTTTAAGGAAGACCTCAGTGAAGAGGTCTTTAAAAAGTCAAGAGATCAGAGCCATCAAAGGGGTCACTGGCTGCTTTACTTCTCTACCTCAAGCACGTTTGGTCTGCGCAAGTATAGTCGGTATCAAACTCATCCAAATTCATCCAAGCTACATTCAGAGTACTGTTTCGACTTGTTCTACTTGTTATGTGTTGTTGTTGTTTTAACCAGATGTGGTATATATATATATATACTCATGATCCATGACAATGGAACTGAGCTGCTGACCCTGCATGTGCTACTAGATTCATGTGAACTAAGAGATGACTGTGCCACGTCTGTGCCGAGATTGATGACCTCAGGCCTTCGCCAAGCGTGGCATGAGCAAGATGACCGCTGAGGCCTCCGTCCTTCCTCCGTGGCCTCCGTCGTACGACCTTCGCTGCTGCCTGGCCCCGGAGGGGCTGCGTAGGCTGACCTAACCCGGAGACCGGCTGTGGGGCAAACTGACCCCTGATCCCCGGTAGGTTGACCTCCGTCTTTTTTCGGGCTGGGGAGGAAGTTTTCGTTTTCGCGTCGACACGAAAAGGAACCAAAAGCGGTGAGAAGACACCGTGCTCCACTCCACAGACATGGTTCGACGAAGTGAACGTGAGTATGACGCAGTTAAGTTCTGTTGTTTTCTTGTCAATTGGAATGTCATGGACTGGCAGAAACCGCCGAATTAGTTAGTAGGAAGGAATGTAGATGCCCTATGATTCCCTCAAATTGAGACAGATTTAAAGGTTCTTTTCAATACATTTATATAAACAAATTCAAGCTAATCACACAGCAGTGATATACTTCTGGATTTATTGGATGACACTTCAACCATTCTCATATAGTTTCTTGTTTGGTCACCAGACATGCTTAACAGCATTGTCATGTTTGGTTGAGTGGGGGGTGGAGACGGAAAGACACACCAAAATTGGATTCCCTTTACCAGACTGCTGTGGTTGTGATCATCACATCTATCATCTATTAATGGCTTTACTTTGATGATCAATTAACAAATGAAAACTCTTATGCAATCCAATAGGAGCCTTGGGATCCAGCTCGGATGACCCCCACCCAGCACAAAGTATGTTCACCCCGGTGCATATAAGGTCCTACGTAAGGTGTGTGCTGATTGACCAGTTTGGTTGATATGGGTTGATCATTCTGAATGACAACGTGTCCAATGTCGGGTCAAAACGTAGAGGCCAGGTCTCTTGCCCTTTGAATTTTTGAGATTCCATTCCTGCAGTGCTCCTCTCCATTGGCCCTATTCGAGCACCCAAAAATATACACCGAAGCAACAGTTTCTTGGGGTGGAGTTTTTGTGCTGTTGATTTTGTGCCACTGCCCATCTAGGAGAAGGAGGAGTTGAAGGCAACTCAGCGTGAGGCCTGGACAGTGGTTGACATGGAGGTCTTTCCAGCGTGGGCCGTTTATAGATCGACGATTCACAGATGGTTGAAGCAACTTGCTAATCAACTGCAACATATACTGTACCACAATACTGCTTGGGCTCATATTTGGATTAGTTACATGCGTGTCGTTGAGCAATTTGGACTCTCTGACGCTGCTGTGCAAGAGAGGCCACGGCTGAGAACCACTGATTACGGAGAAGAGCAGCATTGACACTTGTCGGCTCTTCACACCAATGATTGCAAGGTGGTTGCGTCCTGGCCAGGATCTTTGAACTGCTCCAGCTACTGCCACAAAAGGGATGTCTGGTGAAACAAACACGAGCTTGATGAGATCCCACTCTTGGGCGGTAGTCCTGGTTGTGCACTGTGATCACGAGTTGCAGCTGATACGACTCTGATCAAGAGTGCCTCATGGACAGGACATGGTTCAGAAGCACTCCGGTCACAAGTGAGCTGAAACACCCTCCGCAGGGGTGACGCGTCGATTTTTTCCTACAAAAGCCAGGGGGTGGTTTGGGAGCGCTGGGATGGTTTTTCCCACCAAAAAATCCAGACCCGCAGGCGCAGAAGAAGGTGGATGAGAAGAGAAAGGCTGAGCGCCAGGCAAGGTCTCGGAGGGCTCGGCTGGTCCCGGTGATCCTGGTGCAAACGCTTGGACTGGTCAGCAGTTTGCAGAGAAACGAATGGAGAGGCAGCCGTTCGTTCCAGCTTTCATTTGGCTGACGAATCTGCGCGCAGCACATTTCTTAGAGACCATTGCCATGTGTAGGAAGCACACACCACTGTTAGTAGTTAGTACCACTGTTATATTTTCGAGTGATACAGGACAAGACCACGTTTGCTAGAAACTGGAAGATTGTTGGTCAATGTGTTCCACGATTGTTTCTTTTGAACGTGTGGTTTCCGGGTGCCAGAACCAATGGGTGCATCCAATGCGTGCCAGAACCGGTGTCTTGATGATTTGTCCTTGGCCGGCCCCATATGCAACCAAATGACTGCAGGCCCTGTATGTATAAAGATGTTTTGAAGTAGATGGTTACCAGTTTGAAGGTCTGGAGCGCCAATGCTCTTCATTGCACCCTCTCATGTTTTCTGCTGCAGAGGCATGCAACACGAACCTGTTCACGATGTTCTATAAGTCTAAAGCTATTCAGAACCCATCCACATGGAATACCTTCATGTTTATCGCAGCACATGCACTTGGGGTGGTTCCGTGGTTCCCATAACAAGTATCTACTATTATGTTTGTTTTTCGAATTTCAATATGTTCCATCTCTCCTGAAAGGTTAGATACCATCAAAGTCAATCCCCCAGCCTTCTTTGGATCCAGAGCTGTGCCAGGGCTGAGCATGGATGTTGATCTCAACCGGCCACGTGGTGGAAGAAAGAAAAAAAGCAGCAGCGAGGGGTGAAACCCAAGGTGGAATGGATGGAGCGCCCAAGGTGGTCCCCAGATGGTTTTGGTTCAAGTTCAGGGCACCTGTTGGTTTCATTTGTTCATTGCCCTCGAGCCAGCGAGGTGAAAAATAAAACTGTTTGAATTTGGATGGCGTGTTTCATCGGCCAATTTGCAGTTGGTTGACTGGAACCCAGCAATCATGATCACATGCTGGTGTTTGCGATTGAGTTCAGAGTCTTTTGGAACATCATAATATATCATAATATCATCTATATATACTGGAATTCCGGGATGAACGACATTCGCGAGAGAAGCTTTAAGGTCGTTTACCCCACAAAACTGGAACCACCCAATAATTATGATATTTTTCTGTATGCTCCGAGGATTTTAGATGCATATGCACAAGAGGGAACACACAGGGGTTAAGACGGTTGAGACCCTTTAATACTTGGGAGTGTATCAGGTGCTCAATATGTCATATATAATTATACCATGCATGCTCTTGGTGTGGGCGGATAGTGTGTGCAATGATTGCCAAAGCCCTACTGCACCATTCGACTGAAAGTTTCAGTCTTAAAGATGGTTTAACGAACACTAGCATCAGCTAGCTGAAGTTGCTCCTGATTTGGTAGGATTTTGGCTGGTGGGCGGAATGGCCTACCACGTGGTACCACGTGAATGTTCCTCAACAAATGTGCTCCCTCCTGCCACATGCCCCCGTTTCGATTCCCGCCTATTCCCTAATGGAGCCATGCTTTTGGCCTTCTTTTCATTCCCATTGTGTCCTTCCTTCTTAAGCTAGCCCTGCTAGCTTTCGTCATCAACCCCTGTTCTCAAGTGTTCTTTCCAGCATGGCCTAGCATCGCGCTGACAAGCAGCTGGCCCTCCAGCTGGCCAGCTGACATGTGGCACGTCAGACAGCTCTTCAACAACAAGGCCCCTGCGGTGATATGCGATGACATGCTGCAGCTGTCTAGTGTCCACCCCAGTGCCACCCCAGTGACCACCGTTCGATGCACGGAGAGGTGGTCGACATTACGTTGAACAAAAAACAACATGGCACTCTACCATCAGATCTATCTAGAAGGCCGGATCACCATGGGGTTTCTAACATCAGAGGGTCACCTGCTTTTTTTTGTCACTGGTCACGAGACTTGGTGCACGGCCTGCAGGACCATTTTGGGGTCACATGGATCAAGATCCTTCAGGGGCAGCCCTGCCCCCAAAACATCATCCGGTTTCGGCCAAGCAGCAATGCTATACTGCCAAGATCTGGGGAGATTCCTTTGTGTTCAGAAATACTCAGCACCGAGAACAACATCTGCAAAAAAGACACCTGCAAAAGACAGAAGCCCATGTCCCAGTGTCCAGCGCATGGCAGAACTCTCCACATGTCGACGACCTGCCACCAGTCCTCAAACACCAGTGAAGCCGCAGAACCTCGATCCGCGATGGACTCGGTGGATGTGAACGCCTGGGCGACCCGGAACCAATGCGACCATCTGTACCACACCCCGTCGGGGAACCTGGAACGGGTTTCCGGCCGGAGACGCCGCGAGACCGGAACGTGGAGGGATGGTGGTCCCCCCGCTCCAAAATGGCTGGTGCTTTGGGAATGAGTTCAGGAAAGAGATGGACAGGCTGTCCTTTTGTGACATGGCCATAGACAGTGTCTATAGGTATTCAAGGTATTCATAGGTGGTCGGATTGTTGAGGTGTTGCGGCTCACATGGGTAGTACAGGTCTATGGTGATGTCGTCCATGTTCACCGACTGCACTGAAAAGTCAAGCTCAAGTATGTCAGGGACCGTGGGAGGTTTAGTCGAGCAAGTGTCCCGTGGATCTTCTGGTCTATGAACTCAAGGCTCCAACCGACCAAGTTTCATGAATCTACTTGAGTAGGATCCCATACCATCCCATACCAGACTTGAGTACTTAGTCCATGTATGGCCAGGAGTTTGTGGTCCGTCTTTCTTCGGGCAACCGATGAGCTTCCGCGGCAGAAGACCTGGAAGATGCAGCCCAGATTGGACGTCTTCCCATGCATGGAAGATGTGTATGACTGGGGCATGCACTTGAACGACACATAACGAAACAACCAGAATCCCAGGAACATGTCCCATACACGACTAATGGGACTGGAATATATGCCGCCCCATTGACCACCCCTGGCATATATGGCAGTCCCATTAGCCGTGTATGGGTGTGCCACACGTCGGGACCCGACGCCCACGGGAGGACGCCGTTGATGTGTTCTCTTCCGGTCCCACTCCCGGGGTCCCCCGCTCGTTCAATATTTGATATTATTTGATATTATTTGATCATTTACTGTATGATTTTATTTTTATTGTTGATGTCACATATTAACATATTCATAGTTAACTGATTCATTTATGATTCATTTGATCCCTGCTGACATCTGCTGACCCTGTTGAAATATCCTTTTCTTCAGGTATTTCATCGGCCATGTGGCCTCCAGTGCCACTGATTGCACAGAGGACCGCTGGGAGAGATGAGCCGAAGCGGTTGAGATGAGCGAACCCGAGAGTCCGCGTCGAGTTGGAACGAAACCACGGTTTCCATTGGATTGACGGAACTTTTTCACGGTGACATATGGCTACATGTTACATGATGTTCTATCACAAGATGCTCAACACTGCTTTGTATGGAAGCGATACTATAATACTGCCATATACTGCCTGTTTCCTAGCCTTGCAATGCCTTGCATTATGTTTTAGCTGTTTGCACCCGTTCACTGCATTTTCGGGTGCTGCAGGCATGTCCAATGACGACCTATCCCGACAATTTCCAGGCGTGGGAAGCTGACGGAATGCGTGATTTTCGACACGTGGCAAGGGTATGATGGGTCTTTTGGGTTCTTTGATAACCCGTTCTTTTGGGTTGACCAGCTGGAAACACAGAAGAGCACAAGGCAACCCTGAGAGGACTGATGCACATCAGTAGGCTGTGTTGTCATCTCACTGGACGGTGGGGCAAAATCCTCGGGTGGTAGAACCTGCAAACACTGGGTGCCGTGGAACCAAACAGACGTACAATGACTGGGGAGGACTTATGCACATAGCTATGGCCGGTTGCAGCAGAATGCAGGGACCGAGGAATTGTGTCAGCGTATGGGATTCGGAGGATTCATGAGTTTTTAAAAGGGCGACCAGTTGATGTGCTTTTTGGCTTAACCAATCTGAGTGCTTTCGGGACTTGGATTGTTTGGGCAGCCAAAGCAGTCGCATCCAAAGCGGTCGCATGGACCAGGTGTGCCATGCGTGCACTGTGGCGGGCTGCCAATCTTGCAGTAAAGAAGGATGTGAGGAGTGCCGGTGTGCTTTGTTCGGGGTCCCTATCCAGGCGGGGAGGTGCCTTGTTTTCTCAAGTCACATGAGTCCAGTCATGATCCACTCCCCCTCAGAATTCTGGAATCTCAGGTGCTGGCCTACAGCAGTCGATTATGTAATACAGCAATATTTCAGTTAAATTCAAGGATAAGCGGTTCTACAGGGTTTAACGATTCCTAAGGAGAAAGTAGGGGCTGGTCATCCAAAGAAACGTCCCCGAGAAAAGTCTATTTTTCGTTGTGACTGCTCTTAGAAGTGCGCTGCCATCAGGCTTGTGTTCTTTTTGAGGCAGAGAAACTGTACCAATATATTCATTATATATAGAGAAGGAGGGAGAGAGTAAGGCATTGATTCGGGATATGATAAATATGGGGCTATGGGGCTGGGGCTTTCGGCATGGGTTCATTCTCAGGGCTCGTTGAATGTTCTTAACCTATGCTTTAGATCCAGCCAACAAGCGCAAGTAGGGCTGCTCTTTGGCAGGAGTGCATCTTGCCGGCCACCCGCATCCTGCTGCAGCCGGATGACTTCTTTGGTGGTCATAGCGAGAGCCAATGCTTCTCGATCTTTAGTCTGGAGCTCAGGCTTCATTTGTGAATTAGTTGCTTAACAACAACCCAGGGTGCAACCACTTCCTAACATGCATGCGCAGTCATGGGTATTCCTGATTTTGAGTCCTTGCACGTGATGCTCTTAGCAGGGACACGAGCAGAGTAGACTTCAAGCGCCCCTAAAGGTGGCAGCTGTATTCCAAAATCCTAGTTTTCAAGAGCTTCCCTTTCACTCTGAAGGAGCCTGCTGATCTCTATCCGGAATATTGAGACAAAGCCTAATGGAAACAATATTGTCTTATATTACTTATTCTGAGTAGGAAACTCATGGAAACTCCTTTTGCAGATGTTTCCTTTGTCTCCACGTTGACGCCCTAAGCGAATCGACCATCCCTGGTTTTCACCAACATTTGCTATGCCATCCTGAAGAAAAACACTGAACCCACCAGTATAGCATGCTCTCCTCATCTGTACCTTCGTCGCCTCCGCCACAGTGGTCCCACACTGGGTATATACACACATCTTGGCGTGAAACCTCGATGTAGCGCGACTCACGCCGTGTCTTTCTCCACCGAGTCTTTCTCCACCTGGCCTTCGTGCTCTTCTGCTTGACCTCCTCCGTGCTGATTCTGCTCCGGCCACCGGGACCGACGCGATCGGGCCTGGAGGTCTTATATACAGGGAAACGACCATGTCATGCCGATGTCATGTACCCCCTTGGTTTTTTTTCTCATGATTTTCAAGGTTTGGGGTAGCACGTGCTTGTCAGTTGCCTGTATGAAGACAGAAGTCTGATAAGTCTGATGATTTTTTGTCTTAGGCCAAGGGCCTGGGGGGGGGCAACGATCCAGTAGTTTCTTAGGTGCCAGGACGCATGCCAGGACGCTCCCCCTCGGCGACTTCCTTGAAGAAGCCCGAGCCGAATGATTTGGTTCCTAAAGATTTGCATGGATGTCTAGGATGTGATCCCAACACCTTGGACGGACCTGGCCTAGCATCGCGCAAGCCACCGATGTGTTTGAAAGATTGTACTGTATCAGGTGGTTCCTACAGTGGATGGCCCACAATCCAGTGTGGTTCCTAACGTGACTCCTCCGATTCATGTCGTTCTCTTTTTCCACGGTGTGTCCAGCAGTTGAGCATCTCAGATTAGATTCCAACAGGTGATGCAGCATGCTGTCGATCAAGAAGACTATGTCATTATATATATATAGGTGTATATATGTATATACGTTGGCGCGGGAGGGTAATGTTGACCATTGTTGACCCTTTGGATCATTGGGGAGATGTTTTCCATATCCCCATCTTGGATGGGTGATGAATTTTCCACATTGACGCCTATGAATCAGATTCCAATCATCCAGTGCTTCTTCCCCCAGTCATCCATGCATGCCCCAAGGTGTTACTGTACAGTGACTGTACATGTTTGTTTTGTGGGTCATGCCCTCCGATGGATGCAAGGCCAGAAACGGGATGATGAATGTGAACATCTAAAACTAGATTCAAAAGGCTGGTGTTCAAGTGAATCCCTTTTGCAGACACACCGCCTCCACACCCTGTGCTTTTCTTGGATTTTCTCATGTTGAGCCATTCAGGCCTCAAGTAATTACCTAAGCAGCTTGCAAAATTCATCTTCCTCCATTGCCCCGGAGACCAAAAAGACACACAAACTCTTCCTCTGCAGGTTCTGCATTGATTTAAAGATCATCCGACCGAAGTCGACGTCTCTCCGTGTCCGACATGTCGCGAGGTTTTTGTGCTTGAGCTGTGGATCGGCCAAGAGTCCAGGCGAGGGCAGCTTCTCGCCGAAGCCCGGAAGAAGCCGGAGCTGTCATCATTTTTGGTCATGAAGTGGAACAAGCGGTGACCATGAAAAAGAAACTACGAATTGGTATGTTCTTTCACTCACTCAAGGATCCTTTTTACACCAAGTGCCAGAATGAAAAGAAACGAAGTCCAGTGGCCTCTCCCGTGTGCACCGCCTCGCGGCAGGTGCCTTGGAGCATTGCCTCGCGCACCGACGCCGAGCAAAGGTGCGAAACTACCACGCGCGGGGCCCGAGGAGACCGAGAGGAGGGTCTATTGGTTCCCCTTTTTCAGGGGGTACCCCCACCCTCCGGGTGACCCTGAGACGTCTCCTCTCCACTGATTCGGAGGGGGGGAAGAAGAAGAATAGGTTTTGCACATCAAAGTTGGTGTGGCTCTGTCGTGGGCTCTCAGTACATTTGGTCCCTGGAGGTTCACTGAGGTTCACAAATGAGAGTAAACTTTGATTTTTAATTGAGGCACGAACATGCATGAACCATTGGCTGTTGTGTCTTTTTTGCCGTGGGAATTGGTTGTTGATCAGAAATTGGTCCATGGAAGTGGGATCTCGATCACTGCCTGGCTCAGCTGGCTGTGGGTGAATGCCCTTCGGGTCGGACGACCAATTCTCTCTCGTTCGACTGGTCGGTTTGAGCTGCCCATCCAAGTCAGTGAGTCTGAAGCAACAGAAGTCTTTCTTGTCTTCACACAGTCTCGTCTCGCCCGACCCATGTAGGACCATCCGGTTCTGAGCCGTGAGCCACCCAGCGTCCCCGAGCCAGCGACTGAGGTGCCGGGGAATGTGTTGGGAGTTCCCAGCACCCGGGGAATGTGTTTGCCGTCGAGCGGTAAAGGAAAAGGCCTATCGTATTCGGTCATCCGGACGATGCTGAGGGGTGGAAAAGCCAGATGGTTCGTTTGGATGTTTGTGTTTTTTTTCCTCAGGCTGGTGACGTCCTGTGTTTTCATGTGTTTCATTGTTTTTGGAAGCGAAGAAAAAAACAGCACAGTGGTCAATCAGCTCCTTCATCAATGAATGCAGAGAGATTGCGCTTCCATTTTGCTGCTGTTGTTCGCATGCTTTATTCTTCCAGCTGCGCCTTTTGTTTAGTGTTTTGTGTTTGTATGAATTGTTTCTAGGACCTCGCATCACAGCATATAAACCTCATTGAACCTCATTAATTAGGACTACATAGAACTACTGTTATAGTATATATAATAGGGCTGTTCTTTGTTTAAAGCCCCGTTTTTTCCTTATGCGGATAGATTGGCAGTTGTGGTTTGGGATCGACGGGTGTTGTTTTTTTATGCACCGGGTGCCTTTTTCAGGCCCGTATATATATATATATATATATGTATGTGTGTTGTTTGTTTAAGGCTCACGCTTCTTTTTTTATGCTAGGAGGTTTCGGCCAAGGTTTCGGTGGTGGCAGCCGTGGGAGTAAAAGCGGAGAGCCCTGTTCTTTCCGCGTCTCCTTTTCCTTCCCATTCTTTTGATCCTTTACCAAGGATTCTGTCTGACGGGGACTCTTTAACAAGGATGCTGTTTGACGGTGGCCCTTTAAGACGGATTCTGTTTGACGATAGAACAAGGTGACAAAGAAAATGAAGCAAGAAAAACGAAGGACACGAGTCGAGGAATTGGGCAAAAGATGAAAGGTTCCAACGTCTCCTAAACATGCATCCCAGATGGCTTCCAGCCGAGACCTTTGTTCCTTATTGCTTTATGTTATTGAAGAGCGACCTATTTTCTATTTTTGGATACTATTCTATATTTCTATTCCTGAAAATCGAGTAAATTTTATAGTGGTTGATCCTATATTTTTAAACGATTTGTTTGATAATTGACATTTTTTTTAATACCTTTTGTTTTTATTTTCCAAAATTGACTGTGTTTTTTTTTGTTTTGGGGGGGGGTCATATTTTTTTTCATACTGTTTCTTTTTTTTACCAAAACTGAGACATTTGTTTCCTATGTCTTTACTTCTCCTATTGTTTCTATACTTTAAGGCTTATCAAAAATGCAAAACATGTAGAATTTTGAGGACGTTTAGAAGGAACACAAAAAATAGAACAACAATATATATATATATAATAGATCATAATAGACAAATGTTAAAACATCGAAAACAAGTCAAAAGTTGGATCCGAACATAGGAAAGATAGGTCAAGTTTTGAAAATAGAAAAAGGAACAATCATATCAAACAATAGGAAATTGTTTGACCATGTTCCAAAATAGGCAAAAAGGGCAAAAATAGTATTAAACCATAAACATAGGTCGATTTGCAATTATCTAGAAAATAGTGAAAGCAGCTTACCTCTCCACCCAGACCCCTCCCAGTCGACCCTCCCCTCTCACCTTTCCTTTTCCTTCTTCCTTTCAATGTATTTTTGTTGATTTAATACCTATTTACATGTTCCCTTTTCCTGGATACAGTGCACAGTCTTCATTTTCATGTGTTTGCCTCTCATCAGGCTAAGCCAAGCCAGCCATCGGGTCACATCTTCATATTTAATTTCTTCCTATTTCATGTTTGTTCTTGTCTTCAGCCCTATTATTTTCTACGTCTGATTCCTTGTTTGTTCGTATTTTTGGAAAATAAACCTTTCTGAAAACAACAGTAAGTGCAAGAGCCTTTTTCATGAAATTAAGGCAATCCAATCCAATGTACATCCCGAGCTTCTGCGGGCCGTACATGCAGATGGCTCCGCCAGCGCTTGGGGACATCCTCACTTTGGCGGCGACTGTGGCCGTTGGCGCCCACAGGTTGCACTCTGTCGTGGCTGCTCAGGCCACTGACGGGGCATCTACCGCCTTCACCGCAGATGGGCAGATCGTTACGTGGCGCCATCCTGCATCATACGCCTTTTCCGGTCCCCAATGCTCCGCTGTCGCTGCTCACCAGGTCACCGTTCTTAGGAATTGCAGTCTCTTGGCTGGAGAGAGCAGGGTGCCTGTCGGCGCCTCAGAATCAGATCAACTTGCACCTCTCCAAAGATGCAGCTGGTCTTGAACTGGAGCACAGCTTGAGAGAGTCTTGGAGACACAAACTCCTTCTTGACTTCCAACACAGCAGACGAAGAGATGCATCGGCGGCAGATGGGTGTTGCAAGTGTCCCATGCATTAAGCGCGCAAAATGCTGTACCGAAGACCTAAAACCACGGTTGATGCTTTCTTGTCATGAGCATTGATGCATTTCTGACCATGGCATTCCCTGTGGCAGTTCATGTCCATCTAGTCCATTCAAAAACAACTCGGTGGTTTTCGTTGAAAGACTTTCGAGATCCCGGTAAAGTCCTCCAGGTGACGGGCCCTCTTTCAGGTCACTCCTTCAGCATAAACAAGACCGCCGCATAAAGAAAAAACTGTCCGCATAAGAGAAAACCTGCAACAAAAAAACACCTCCCAGCCTCCAGCCTAGAGAAAAGAACCGTTCTGATAAAATGAACTATTCCCTATAATATATATACTATAAATATCTATATATGTAACTACATGTGAAGTTACAGTATATATACTTCAATCACAGCATCCACTGGCACTGGTTTGCACCTCCATTGTTGTCCTTGCCAAGGTTGTATTCCTTCAGCACGAATGTGCAGAGGCCGGCCACAGCTGACACTGGGACGTGACATGACATGACTTGACCGATCGAAATCGCAACCTTCATCAGATGGCTCCAGATTTTGGGAAGAAACGCCAGATGTCCGGATGGTGCCAACTGCATTTGCCGGAACTCATTGTCTTGCTAGAAAAAAGGGCCGCTTTTTGTCTATCCTTTCGAAGCGGCACAAGAGATGTCACCTTGGCCGACCTGGATGAAAACCCACACTCGAAACAGCAAATCCGGCATGTTCACCAAGAGAGGGATAGGACAACAGGACAAGTTCTCAAGTCCTGAATGAAACCTTTGGCGTGAGTGGGTATGGTATGGCTCAAAAATCAGCAGGTGCAAAGCTTGCGTAAGGGTTTACCCATATGTTCTAATCATGTTTTTGGGGTTTTAGACTTGGAGGTCCACTTCAAGTACATCCATTTGACTAGTTTCGGAAGGAATTGTTCCGGGCCTTGGAGTCATTTGCCACTTCTCGGAGGGATCGGAAATACCTAGAAGATCCTTTCGGCAGACATTCTGGCCTTTTTCGGGAAGAGCGGCCCTTCCCGTCCTGGAGCGGAAATCACCTTTTTGCCGCGGACATGTTTTTGTTGCCGCGAAGTTTCCCTTTCAAGAATCGAGTGAGAGACTAGATATTCTATATACAGGAGTTGAATATTTTTGGTTGTTTACATTGGGCATTTCTGCCTCGAACGGTCCTCAATGAGAAAAATGAATGGTGGCGCTGAAGTTTTCACCTCCACCTACAAATCTGGCTACCATGTCTTTGTTTTTGAAGGTTTCTTGTGCGGAATGAGCACACAAGGAGTAAAGCCAGTCCAAAGTTGAAAACATCTGGCGCGAAAATGCCCGGGGAAAAAGGTGGAAATACACGGGAAAGAGGCGGAAATACCTGGGAAAGCGGCGGAAATACCCGGGAAAACGGCGAAAGTTTCCTGGCAGAAGGCGGGATTCAAGAACGTGCCTTTGAAGGGCTTGAACATATGTCGCAGCGTCTTTGTGAATGATGTGCATGTCATGAATATAGAAATGTCAAAATCGTATGGTGTCAGATCTTGAGATGTGAAACTATGTACATGCAGAACGATATGTGGTCTGCAATCATGGAAGAGACATAAGAGACACAACTGGTCGGTGTTAGGCAGGTGTGATGGTTTTGAACTGCTAGTTTGATGCAAAAATTCCCTGCTGGCCGCGGAAATTGCTACCTGGAGCGGATTTACCTTAAATCCGCGAATCCTCCCGGGCAAGTCGGACTGAGGCCAAAATTGTGGTTCCAGGTGCTTCTAGGTACCCAGGCCCACCAAACTCATTGAGTTTGGAATCTCCAAGGTCGAACAAAGCCGGGCAGCCGGGTGTCACAGCTTTGCACCGGTGCTGTCGACCCACGGAGAACGTCCTCGGCTCCGAGAGTCCGGTCGAAGCGTTTCTCCGCACGTGCGGCAGGGAGAACGTCTCCGGCTTGGGACTGGCGCTCTATTTTCGGCACGTGGCCTTCCAGGCTGGCGCTCAAGCAGCTGTGGTGTCAGCGGAAAAGGGGGTTTGGTTTTGAGACTCAACTAGGGTTGTCGGAGCTTTGTTTGTTGGAAGCCCTGGGTGGCTCAAGCTTGTTCTGCCTTCGGAGAAAGTGTCGGATCTTTGGATGAGCCCCTCAAAGGTGAAGGCTTTGAGGGCCCAAACCCCTGCTATGCAGGATCAAAACTTGTTAAACCATGTTAAACCTATATATGGATGGTCCAATGATGCTGGTGGTGACAATCAACAGATTCAAAGGTCTATCCTGTTGAGGTGTTGCACGTGGCAACAAATCGATCGGATGCATGTTGGCCTTTGTTGACGGATTCCTCAGAACATTTAGGGGGACACTCATCATGCTTTGTTACTGAAATTTGAAGTGTTGCGAGCAGGTGGTTGCCAGCTTTCCCAGCACCAAAAAAATGTAAATTTGGATCTTAGAGGTTTGCAGCATCTTTCCCAGGTATGACATGGTATCACACTAGCAGCCACTAGGGGTTTGAGCAGCAGGTTCAGGGTTTGAGCACCAGGACGCACCAGGACGGCTTGTGTTTTTTAGAAGTGTTGCTGTGTCGGCACTGGTGTCACGCGTTGCGGCTCCGCTGCGATCTTCCGCAGGGGCTTCTGAGTGGTGCACTCAGTTGGGCGGGCGTGTTGGTTCGACGCAGATCTCACGTAAACTGATGGAGTTGTGGATCATGACGAAGGGAGTTGTTCATGTTCTTCCTCCACGCAGGGAGTGAAATGTGCTGCATATCCGCAAATTGAACAAAAATGCGCTCAGAAACGGAGGATCGAAACCCGAAATGTCATTACCCGATTTGGCTTCTACTCTCGACCCAGTGCTCTCGACTCTCAACACCTTGGATTGGCCAAGGTTTTTTCCTCATCGCCTTGTCAGCAGCAGGCAGAGAGACGGATAATAATGTTTCCATTTTTTACAGGGATCCAATTGCCACCTGGTATTTTTTGATGCTTGCAAGACCTTCTAAGGAGTTTCTTTGTTTTGTTTGAGGATGAATATGAACATTTAATTCTCTGGTTCCAGGATGACAAGCAAACATTAGCGATGTTTCATGCGTTAGTTCAGTTTCAACACTGTCAGCTGCTGGTGAGAGTATCTGGCAGGCCACTTCCTGCCTGAGCTGACCCACGAGAGCGCCTTTCTTCCACGTTTGATCCCACCAGACAAGCTGGGCCAGGATGGCTCAGGTCCTCGCCACAAGAGACTTCACGGGAAGGGTCCGGTCAAGTCAAGATGAGTTTATTTTTGATGGTTTTAGCTTCAAGGATTCGAGCTGATTGGTCTCTGCTGCATGATGCATGGGGAGTCTACGGTGTGTCCTGTCTCCCATTTTGAGACAGATACACCCAGAATCGTATTTGGGTCTACGGAGTTGACGAAGGAGTTAAGTTTGGTTCCTATATCTATAGCTACAGCATTCTAGGATATTCGACAGCAATGAGGATAGCAGTGAGAGCTTGTTTTCAACACAAACAAGACTCAGGCTGCCGCATGAATCGCTGAATCGTGGCACGAAACATCCGCACGCAGTCAGCTGCACCATCCACCGATCTGATCGTTTCAATCATCGTTTCAATCAATCGACACATGACATGACACACCTCCTGGCATCGCTACTAGGAGCAAGGACGCTACTTAGTAGCTCCTGGCCTTACTACTAGGAACACCAAGCCTGGCATCGCTTCGAACGGAGCAACTACTGATTAAAAAGAAAGGGGCGATACATCCGGACCTTCCGGGCCTGCTCTGCTCGTGGTGATACAAAGACTAAAGGCACTCCTGACTCCTGATCCTGTTTCGATTGGACCTGAGTTTCGCCAAGACCAACCGGAGGGCCGCCGTCTTGAAGGCCGCGATTTCGACCCAGGCCTGGCGCAAGACTTGCATGCCTTGGCACTCTATGTGCCCTGGCGATCCGAGTTTTCACTTCGCAGGTGTTTTTTCGCCGGAGAGTCTGCAGGTGCAATGATTGGGGTGTCCCCTTTCAGCATACTTGGTTTGAGTGAAACTACTAGTACTTGTTTAATCTTGTTTACATGCTTATTTACAGTCTTCAGTACCGCTTTTGTAGCACAGAAGTTGAAAACAAAGAGTACTACGGATGAAGATGTTAGACTTGCAAACAAACACATGCTGTCACGTCACACCTTGAGACAGTACTGGGTATGAAGGGCGTCTGACCTGCGGCGTCGTGAGTGAACGACCAGGCCTAGCGAACTGGGCCACAAGCACCCTACAGGGGTCGTAGGGTGCTGGGCCCGGTGTAGTGGGTCGTAGGGTGCGGTCGAAATACCAAGCTTCGTTGCAGGTTGATGATGTGATCTACATGTCCAGCTAAATCACTCGCACCACGACCATGTCCAAACTACAAGCAAGTCGAAACATGTATATATTTAAATATATAGAACCTATGGCTCGGCAACGCCACGCAAGTATGGATAGGATTTGTTTGGCGTCAACCAGATGTTGCGTCCATACACCGTGTACGTTGCAAGAGATGTGTGCACGATGCTTTCATTTCGGGTCAAGTCGTGACGCGTGACACCCGAGGTCTTTTGCTTTGTCGCCACGGTGCGGTGGCTCTTTACTCAAGGGCGTGCCGCCCGAGCTGAGTACGAAGAGGTCAGACCCGTCAGAAGGTGATTGAGAGGAGAGGGCGCCCTGATTCGGTATCAAAAGGGAGTCAATGAGTATATTGAACATGTGCTTTCAGAGTAGATGGTGCCAATTCCCGGCTCATGTCAGAGCCCCATCTTAGCGGGCCCATGTGTTTTGTTTGCACCATCTAATTACTCTGAAACTCTAAAGTGCAGAGGTGATGGTTGAGTGGGCAACAAATCAGAACACATCCTTCCAGTAGTTCCCCCACAGATCCAAATCTCGCCAGCTCATGCGTGACCAAATGTGACCAACGGGCAACATGAGGTTGTGAGCAACCTCCATTTGAGCGAAGAAGATCGAACAAGAGCTTGGAAAGGGGGTACCTATAGGCGCTATAGGTGGGGGTTCTCTTATCAAAATCATCTCGGTCTCCGTGGTAGGCCCTTGGTAGGACCGTCAGATGGTCCTGTTTGTTCCTGTCTGGTGCCTCTTTTGTGTCGCTGATCCCATGAAATCAGTCGTTTGGAGATGATGTGTTTCTGTAAATAGGCGATCCCATGATACAGACCTTCAACAGGTCCGAAGTGGCACCCGAAGTTGCATGGGTGTGTTTTTTCTTGGAGCTGATGTGGGGTAGATCCTCAATTGGAGGGATCTCTGCCTTTTTTCTGTACTTCAGCCAAGTGATGGAGGCCTCCCAAACACCACGCCAACATAGCGCGACATGATGCGCATTGGCACGCAGGTTCCGCATCTCGCTGATTATGCCTTGTTTGCTGAAGGATTTCCCAAGTGGGGCGCCTCAGAATAAAGCACTGATGAGCCCCTTGGTGCCTGTGAGTCTGGAGATAACGAATGAATCAACATTCTGCAGCTCGGAATGAGATACACAAAACCCGGGAAATGCTGGGCTATGGCCATCAAGTGTAAGGTGCAGGGATTTGGCCCTGGAATTGAACCCAGCAGAGAGTCCGATTCTAATATGTTTTGATACAATGTATTGTTGTTAGATATATATATATATAATATCCAAGCAGTGATTCTGTTGTTGCCATCTCATCAGTGCTAAGGTCAGCGCGAACTCCGCACGAGGCAGTCATTGGATGCCCATCTGATTTGTCCAAGTTCTTAATTGTCCGTTTCTTAGATCTGGCCTGGCCTTCCCAGGGTCATCCAGGGTCGAAACTGGAGCTTTCCATACCAAACACTCTGACTGTGGCACAAAAAGGGCGTCTCAACAACCTGCTGTTCCTGGGTCTGAACATATGGAGCCACAACACCATCCTAGACCTATCTCTTTTTTTTGTCTCGATGTAGGGTGCGGTACGGAGGGAATGACCACAAGGATTGGCAAGGATTGGCAGGAGTATCATATATCATTTTAAAATCCGTGCATTGACCAGAGGATTGGATTGTGCTCGGTTTGGAATGGTTTGGAGTGGCACGGTCTGCTGCTGACAGCGTCCAGTTTGCGACGTTCCACCGTACGTTCCACCTGTCCCGGCTCGGTCACCAGCTCGGTCGGTTTACTTTTCAAGAAGCAACAGGAACGATAGACTGCAGGAAAGAACCTCGGACAGAAAGGCAGGCTTGGAACTTTGGACAGCCCTTCCAAGAGGTCGAAGGCCTTCCACCAAGAGGTCGGCCGGGACTTGGCAGGTGAAGGCCTTCTTCGAGTCGATCTTAGGCTTTGAGATCGAAGGGGCGACTCGGACCGGTGCGGGTTGTGCGGATGGACCGGGAGGAGGTCGCCGGCGGAAGAGTTGGGGGCCATGCTTTGCCTAAGGGAAATGACATGTGCGTATATAGGGCCGCCTAGGCCCTAAAGTTCCGAACTTCCGAATTGGGTCCTGAAAGGTGGACAGTTCCATTTTGTGTATGGCTTGATGTTGGGAAGTAAAGTTAGCAAAGACCTTTTGAATCAATTTGGCTGAGATGTGTTTTGCTGAACATCACCAAATCGTTTGACGCAGAGCTGCAACAAAACGTGCCAGTGGAACAGGCATTTTTTCGGAGCCGGCATTGGTAGCGGTGTTACAATATGTTCGACTTATGCGGGCTAGATGCCGGCGCGGGTCCGTTGACACAGCAGAACTGTGAGCCCCGTCTCTGGATTGGCAGCTTAAGAGGAGGGTCCTTCATCGGACCTCCCTGACCATCGGACCCACAGCATCGTCCGCAAACAGGAGGATGATCAGCCGAACTCGCGTGAGTGCTAGACTCCTGTGTTTCTAGACGAGTCGAAAGGAACCACTGAATCAGCCAGTAGTCATGGTTTATGGACGTGCACCTGACTGGACACCAGAAGCTTCTTTCACGTCGTTCTTTTCCACAGTCACGTGGTGCAAACATCTCCACGGTGCGAAGAAACCCTCAACACGGTGCGACCATCCCCAGGAGATCCAAACACCGCCTCTGTCGACAGGCGCGTCCTTGAAACCGTTCAAAGGCTGGTTGGACCGGTCCGACGACCAAGGTCTCGATCGCCTATGATGTCAGCGAAGAGTTGGACTTCATCGAGGACCGAACCCACAAGGCCGTCGAGCAGGTGGGCGAAGCAGCGCGGTCAGCGAGGCAAAACGACACCGGTGGGAGCGGATGAGCTGAGCCGCAGGGAGATGGGAATAGACATGAATGACATGAATAGACCATCAATTAATATCGAATAATATCGTTAATCACTTGGGATGAAGATACATTATTTCACAGAGAGTGTATCCCGTGTTGATTCACGGGATACATCCTGTCATCCTGCAGTGTTTTCTTAGGAGTTCTTTCCAGATCCCGCTCCCGCCGCAATACCCTACGCTACCCATCCGTCGCCATCCGCCATACCCTCCTCGCCTGTCTCCCTCGCGGCATGGAACCCATCCCCTTGAGACGTGAAGGCAGATGCCCACTTGGGTGTGTATCCCGCGGAGCTCTCCGACTTAAGAGAGTCCTTCGGGGAGAGTCAAGATGGCTATGCTCGGGATGCCCAGTCAAACGGGCCAGAACGCCACGCGAGTTGGAGCATGAAATGGAGGAGGGAACCATTGGAGTCGTTATGGCTCGGAGTTGGGGTTGAAGGGAGGGCCAAGTTGGCCCAGATCTAGGCAAATTTGTGTGGATCTTTGGTATAGCAGCATCCTTCAACATGTGCACACAACATTCTGGGCGCACATGTGTTTCGCACAACGATAGCCACTGGCATGCTGGCATTGGATGATCATTGTTGTTGCGACTTGCTCTCCGATGTGAGACCAAATCAGCTTCACTTTGGGCTGCACATCCGCAGGACTCAACGAAAATCCCAGGACCTTTGGGGCAGTCTTATGCATATAATGTTCAGACAAAAATGAACAAACTCCTGAAGGAACTGCCATGGCCCTTGCGGTCGGATCCTTCCGTAGAAGCAGGTCCGATCCGGAAGATGGGTCAACACAATCTTTTTTTGAGCAACTCTCTTTTGGAGCACACCTCCTTTCCAGCCTCCCGGTGTTTTTTGGTGGCAAAGAAAGGACTCTACTTTCACTGAAACTGCCCAGCTTCCGCTGAAAAGAACATCTAGCTTGTGACCTTTAGCATTTGACCACATCTTAGTAAGAGGATCCAATGAGGAATTCCGTCGCAAGCCAACCCATGTGCGAACAAGTTGTCCAGCACCTTCCAGGTGTGTTCTGACCATTTGTTCGCCAGAACACCAGCCTAGAAGGAAGACGCATCTACCGATTTGGTTCCAGTTCCAAGAACCAGAGTTCCAGTTACCAGAGCTTCAAAAACCAGAGTTCCAGTTACCAGAGTTTACAAAACCAGAGTTTCAGTTACCAGAGTTCCAAAAACCAGAGTTCCAGTTACCAGAGTTTCAAAAACCAGAGTTCCAAAAGCAGTGGTTTCGATCTCTTCTCGTTTCGATCTCATACGCGCCCATCGATATGATATCGGGATCAGGTTCTCGACGGCTTGGTGAGTTGTGGAGAGGCGGTGCCTGGTGATGAATTGGGTGACGGCGGTGGGAGAGCACCATGAGCGGGGTGAATTGGGTGAGGAAGAAAGCATACATAAGCTAGCAATGCATGTGTCTAAAAAGCGCCCTCCCTTCGACTCGAGGTGGGATGGTGCTAGTTGCTTGAAATGGTTGCGATGGTGAATAACTGGACCAGAAATCCTGGTCTTCTGAGGTTCCAGGTCAACTCAGTTGGGGCCAAACCGACTCAGGAGCTTCAGCAAGAGCCTCGTCTAAGTCTATCTCATCTCCCATCCCGCGACCCCTCAAGGCTAGCTCAAGATCCACTCTACTCTACCCAGTTCTTCTTTGGGAATCCAGTTTCCGATACCAGATGGTCATCCTCAAGTAAGGGAGGTTTGATGTTTACAATAGCTTTATAGTTTGCAACAATACATATATATATATATATATATCCCAGTGGGCCAATGCACCAGTTGAACCAGTTCTTTAGTAACGCACCAGTTTAACCGGTGCTTTAGCAAAACGGGAGCTGGAAGCTTGAAAAGGCCATGAACAAGAACAAACAACAAACATGAAAAGGACGTGAACAACCTGTCAAAAGCCAGTGAAAACGGGGTGAAAGGTCGTGAAACACCTGTGAAAATTAGGTCTTGGAAGTTGGGAGGTGAAATGCGTCCTTTACGCTAAAGCACCAGTTAAACCCATCCTTTGGACTTGCTGGGTATATTATTGTGAATACAGCCGTATAGCTTAATTGTTTGTTTCTTCAAATTCTCCATTCTGTTCCATAGTGATTTCCGTACCCCAGCCAGACCCCTCTAGACTAGGTAGACTAAAGTCACTGAAGCATATCCCCCCAAAAAACTGGGAGTTTAGAGGCGAGTTGTTATCTAAACCACGACCCGGAGACCAAGTTCTTCGCTCCACTCAGGTCGTGGTCTTCTCCCGCGAGGAGGATCGAGAGTTCTGCTTGCGGCGCTTTGCCCGGGGGCCATGGGGGCTGCCGGTGGGCCAAGCAGGATTGATCCTGCAGGTGGTGAAACGTTCCAAGAGATGTGTTGAAGCACAGGTGAAGCCAGTGAAGGCGTTGCGGTTGAATGATCGAAAAAAACACATATGGACATAACAAACGCGTGAGTTGGGAGTTGAATGTGGCTTCGGGTGCCACGACGTGCTTTGGCCAAGTTTCTGGGTGCGACCCACATAGGTGGAAAGGGCGTTGAGCGTCTGAACTGTCTTTTGGGATAAACAAGCAGATTTGATGGAACCAAGAGTGAAATACAAGTCTGGAGCATTTGAACTGCAGACCTCTGATTCATCTCAGGGAAAACAAAAGGAACAACAACCGACATGTTGAGTGCTTTTGTCCTCCACTACCAGAAAAGCATGTATGCCGTGTCCACAGGAGGATTCCGGGTTCGTCGCAGGGTTGTTGGTGTTCTCCCTGAGATCTACAGATACTTATAAGGTTTCCCCTCAATGCCTAAATGCTTCAGATTGGAGTGTGAAAACATGTTTTTCCACCAAAAAAGGCGGAGGCATCTGAAAACAACTGCAGGTATCCTTCAGGAGTTCTGGAGCCTTGGGGCCCTGTTCCCTTCGTTGTTCGACCAAGGCCGAGATCCGGCGGCAGGTGCAGAGCGATGTGACCGAAGAGGCCCACGCACACCGGTGATGGGGCAGAAGCTACAGATCATCCTACATCCCTCTCTTACAGTTTTGGAGGATTCTGTTCAGTTTTTTTTATTTGGGCCATTTTGGACCCACAGGCATGGTGATGTTTGGAAAGTGAACCAGTCTTCGACTGGATTCAGAGAAAGACGTCTCAATGTGTTTGTGTTTGGAACCTATTTATTGGCAATAACAGTGAAACCTATCTATCTCCAACAGCTGTGGAATGTCAATCTTGAATCTTGAACGTCTCCTTTTGAGCTTGTGTTCCTCGAGAACTTCTTCCCCAAGGTGCCTCAGGTCCATAGCCATTCACCTTTTCACGTTGATGGCCCAGGCCGACACGGATGAAGAGCGGCGACCTGAGCATGGGTTTTCTCAGGTTCGGAGGACCAGAGCCGGTGCTGAAAATCCCTCTCCGGCTGCGCCTTACGCGGCATAGCTGTTATGTAAGTCGCAAGATAGGACTATGTTGTCTTGACCCTCCATGTCAAGACCCAGAGCTGCGTGAAGCTCCTGCGGCATGAGCATGTCTCCCATCAATTGACCTGAGAACTGTTTACCATGGGAACCAGACCTGGATTGCCCACCACCTTCTCCAAGCAGTTCCACCCAGCCACCCGTCGCATGTCGCTCGCATCCTAGCCGTCGCCTATATGTCGCCTTGCGCGCGGAGGTCCCAAGCCTTGCTGGGGAAATCCAGGCGACCCGGCCACCGCGGAGACGAGACGGGCGAGGGCTGCGGCGTGGGCGGGGCGACGAACTCCACAGAGCCGATCCGGTCGCTGCTGGCGCATCCGGTCGCGCTAAGAGCTGTTCGTCCACGTCGCCAGCGACGTAGGTGGTGAGACGTAGGAAGGGCCGCTGGAGTGTGAGACGGTTTCTTTCCGGATGAAAGACTTCGTTTTTGGCTCCGCACAGAGATGAACTGGACTAGCCCAAAGCATCCAAACCCATGGGCGCTTGGGTCATTTGGTTGGATGAACAAGATGGTGGGCATCATCCTGCAAGGGTGGGAGGAAATCACTGTATTGCCCAAGAACTCTGGAGGGTAGACTTTTGGACTAGCGCGAGTGAGGAAGGCTAAGACTAAGAAGGCACATGTTGGACAAAGAGTCTTCACATGTCTTCACAAGTTCATCCCCATTTTGGAATCATGTAGGAATGTAGGGGATGTTTTTTGCTTCTTGAGAGGCCGTCCAGAGGCAGCAAAGGAGCCAAAGGCGACGCTGTTGGGGTGTTGGGTGGATGTGCAGCATGTGATAGGCTGCGTCATGAGAGGTGGATGGCCAGAGTTTCTTCTTTGCTTGACACCCTCAGATGAAGGAGATGAGCATGGAAGTTTAAACTACCCAGGATCATCTGGATGTACCTGTAAAATCCTGCAAAAGGCATTGCGGATCACCACAACAAGGATGTTTGCATCGATCACTTTTCTATTTTGCCCACATCAAGGCTTGCTGTTGGATGGAGTACAGAAAAGAGGTGAGTCAAAACAACTGCTTGGTGAGGTTTCTGGGAGAGGTTGGATGGATCTGTGGCCGAGATTCTCTCTGATGGCAGAGCATCCCTTGATGACCCAATCTGGGGCCTCCCATCAACACTGTTGAGGACAGGACAGGAAAACCGCCCCAGAGGTATCTGTCAACTTCCAAGACTCCCTATAGGTCGTTGCGAACACAGTGCTGAGAATCGCGAAACCTTCCATTATTGGTAGCATTACACCAACCTTGGCAGATGCTGTCCTCTAACTAGACAAGGGGTCCCTGTTCCATGGACCAGGCCGCTCCAAAAGCAGCTTGAGCTCGGCCATGCTGTTCCGCCGGGAGCCCCCAGCCCGACGGACGGTCGTGAGGCGTTCGAAGGTCCGACGTTCATCCATGGGTGAAAAGCAGCAGACGACCCGGGTCGCATCGGTTTTGTTATTAGTTTTTGCGCCGAGCGAGAGATGTCAGATGTAGCCAGCTTGTCCACCAGAGGTTGGTCTAATTGGGAGATAGTGACATGGCTTCTTGAACAAATGCAAGACGAAAATGAGCAAAGCTAAAATACATTTAAAAAGAACACATGCAAGTGCAACATACAGTCTATGAGACAGCACCTGCAAAATGAAGTACAACAAAGAATATTTGGGACATCACTTGCAGGTAAATGATCAGCTTTTGTACAAGTACCGAGTATCCGTCCTGCAGTTGTCCTGCAACCAACCAGCACTCAGGCACCCGTGCTCCGCAAAAACACCTGCTCCGACTGCGCCGGACCGGGTGAAACCGGCCGCCGGCCTCACCGTCAGGTGGGAAGTTCCCCATCACCGTCTCGGAGGCCTCCGGTTTGTTGGTCGGAGCTTCCGCAAATCCGGTTTTTGTTCGCGTCCTTTTTGTTTGAGGTTGGGCATGTGGAAAGGCACTGCCTGGTGGTCACTTCGGGTGTTTTGTGGTGTCTCTTCGGGGGGAACTGGTGAAGTCTGAGTTTTGGGATTTGAACATGATTTGGACGACTTAGTGAAGGGACACCATGGGTTACTGATGATGTGCATGCAGCGGCGACTGACAAGTGCAATGGAGGGATGACGATCAATGCATGTGGTGGTGTAATTCTACGTAGCACTCCATGCATGCAGATGCTGGAATCCAAATTGCTGGGTTACATGCCCAGGAACAGTCGTGTTTAGTCTAGAAGTCTTCGGGTTGGTATGCCACTCGCAGGGTCTGGCAAGCTATCAGGGGCAACAGTCTCAGGTGGGCCTGCAGAAGCTACATGGAGTCAATCCATCAACGCAAAGCGCACAAAGCAACCTTCGAGCCATGTACCCGACTCAACCATTTAATGGGTGTCCAATGGAGATCCCTAAGTGGTGGAGGGTAGTCCATTGGTGGTGACCCGTTGGATGATCCTGGCATGTTCCAGTTTTGTGTTTTCTTTGTTTTCCAAAGTAGGAGTCTCACACTGTACTGGGCACACCGTGCAAACACATCCATTGCAAATCTTCGTATCACTTGCAGCCGGGCGCCCTCGGGCACCCAGCGAAATCGAAGAAACGGCCAACCGGAGTCCCTGAGCTTTCCAAGGCGCCAGATCCCTGTGACATCATTTGGGAGAACTTCCAGGTGCCTTCTTTTTTCAGCGCAACTGCGTAAGCGCGCAACTGCTTTGCCTTGGAACATCCCACACTTCCGATACCTGGGCTGGAGGGTACTGGTCGAAAACGTCCGAGTCCAGCCCTTCGAGGGTGACCCATTGCACACTAGAAGCATATGGAAAAAAAGAACATGTTTTTGGATGTGTTTGGCTCCAACATGTAGCGGTGGAGAAGAGTCTGGCTTCTCCGGCCCGGAGCCAAACCCGCCGCCCTGCAGAGACCCAAAAACCACCCACTGTTCCCCGGAACCCCCGCTCGAAGATCCAACACCTCAGTGGGACCCAGCACCTCAGTGGGACCCGTTCTGGCAGGTTCAAGGGGGCCTGAAGATGTCCCGAGTGGCTTCGGAAACCCAGCACCGGGTGAGGGGATGGCGACCAACACATCGATTGGATGACCAGAAGCGGATTTCGGGCAACCCGGGGAACGCATGGATCGGTTTTTTGGGGGTGTTGCTTCTTCCTTCAACGATTTGCATGTGCTTTCATGACCGTGTCTTGCACACCCCCCTTCTATCAAGTCCTCTCTTGGAGGAAACCAACCACTCCCGGCCGCGGAACCCTTTTCGCGGCGGCCTAAGGTCCTGACGCTCTTGTCGGGCTTGTTGTTCGTCTTGGTCCTTGCGGCAGCACCTTGCTACCGGGGAGCCGAGCAGCGTGCGTCCGGACGGACCTGGTGTTCATTCGGATGAAAGAGGAGCCCTTTCTTCCAAGCTGCTTTTGATTGGGGGGACAATGAGAATGGAAAGTAGTGGGTTCAAAGGAGAACGGATCTGACATGGAGTCCAGTGCTTGATCTGGTTTGGTGCTTAAGAAATAGAAAAGAGCACCCCTGTTTCCAAGTGTCATTGGATTGTCCATAGTAAATGCAAGGATGGCAGTTCCAAACATGAATAGCAGACATAATATAAAGGACATATATACTGCATTAATCCCTCTTGACAAGTGGCAACTCGGAGAAACTGCCCAGTGTATTCACTCATCACTGCACCAGGTCTACACCTGTGGACTAACTGATTAGGATAATTATGTAATATTGGCATGGGTAGAGGTCTTCTAGTCCCGTTGTTCTTGTTGCGGCAATCTTAATTACTATCCTACTACACATGTACCACAGTCAACACTTGGGGGTCTTTTTGATGTAGGGATTGTCATTCATTTTTTACAACATGTTTTATACAACCCCACGTAAAAAAAGAAAAACGCGTCGGGCCTGTAAAAAAAGGATGACCATTCCCTGGACTAGAGTGAGTTTTGACCATGGCACAGACACACACGTGCGCCACAAATCGAGGTCATGTTCGCGCCCTCCGTTCTCTCTGCCATGAGCTACACGGACATCGAAGCTCCATCTTTAGTTGCCCAGATGCAAAAAATCGAGGGCAAAGCGAGTTCAAGGCCTCACTGTTGCCATCCCTTGAAGAGAAAGAAATGATTTGACAGACAACTATGGAGCTCTCCAAATAGATCGAATATCACTGAAGTCAATTTGGAGACACGTTCTAGTAGACACTTAGTGTGATGGCTAGACCTCGGTAAGTAGATCCAGGTAGTGAAGATGTTCTTCGATTCCTGAAGAATATGCAGATGCTGTGATTTGATCGTTGCTTCCTTCCTTTGATCGTTTGCTTCAACCAGAGAACTCAAGGACTGCCAGGTCAATTTGCTGGGAGCTAACATCAATTCATTGAAGCAAGGGGGGTGGCCCGCATTTAAATTCCCAACCAAAAGAGGTGAAGTGCGACACGGGTGGCACTGGGAACTTCAGGCCGAACCTTTTTGCGATGTCAGAAGTCCCTGCAGTTTTGCGTTTGGCAGATCGCGAAGTCCATGGATTGCTGGCCCATTATATTAGTCAGTCCAGACGTCCAGACTAGCGCCTCAACATTGAACTGGAAGGCCGGTGCTGGTAGAAGCTAGTGTCAAGACGACACCCTGAAGGTGCTAGGGATTGCGAGGGTGAACCTGCGAGTCATCAGTACATGTTCAGCTGGGTGCAGATTCTCGTTGTTCTCGTCTTGAAAAGGGGTAGCAATCATGAAGGTGGAAAATAGCACCTCAACAGGCCATGTTCCACAAACAGGGGGTGAACTTCACTTCCATGTTTGTTACATAGAGTGTCTAAACATAATATATATATAATTATATATATAAATACACACCTAATTATATATTATATATATATATGTGAATATACCCAAACTCGGGCTCCAACTACTCAGAAGTTGTGATCCTCAACCTTCCCCATGTGACGCCGTCTTCCACGGCCTCCCGGAGCTGAAGCAGTCGACCGAGGCTCAGATTCGTCTGAAATGGTTGGAGCAGCTGTCCATGGCATCGCTCACGGCGCTGGGAAATCGAGTGCTGGTGGGGGACGACGGGAACCGGCTTCGATTGGGTTCGAAGATGGGAGCAAGCTTTGAAGAGGTGATGTGAATTTCGGATGGTCACAGGCAAGAGCCAGCAAAGATCTTGTGTTTTCAGACTAGATGACATCATTAAAAACTCTCAAGTTGAGGTGGTGTACCAAAAAATGGTCCATGAGACAGAATGAAACACAGACCTATCATTGTGTTATGGACCATTTTGCAACAAATGCAATACATATGTTATTGCCAGTGCTGCTGTCAGCTACTGCCGGATTCAGGCAGTGAGCATGCGCTCCGCCGCCGAAGCGAGTGGCTTTGTGCAAAAGGCAGGACCATCGAGCTGAGCAGATCGTAGATTTGAAGCGAAATCACGGAATTCTATCCATTAATATATATATATATATGTTTTTCCCACCATGTGTCCCCTATGTTTAAGCTGTGTTTTTTTAGGTGATGTACCACTGAACAATCCACTTATTCTCCAAGCCATCCACTCATACATCCAAGCACTTCAATCCACTTATATTATGTGGTTTTCCCCACCATACTGAGCTTAAATCCATCACGGGCTACCTGTTGGTGGATTTTCACGGGATTCCTGCATGTTGGGCCCTTGTTGGAAACTGGCGGAGGCCAATGAGGACAGCGTCTTTGTGCTTTGCAGCTACTTGATGGTGCGTCCAGACACCGGGATGCTTTGGGGTCGCCCTCTGTTCGCGTTTGCTGGACAGCGCAAGGGTCGCCGAGTCAACCAGCTTCAGTGAATGGATCTGACAGGCAAGCCTCATGTTCACCCCGAAAAACATCCAGACTGTAACAGTCTTGGGGGTGCCAATTGCAGTGGTATCTCGATCCACTCAGATATTATAGTACATAAATTATATGCAATTTGTTTCGAGCTTTGGTCGAAGTTGCTTCTCACTGACGTGGGATTTCGTGGATTCGATACCATTTCAGCACATGTCACATAGCTATAAAACCAACACGGGGTGTCCTGGTACAAAAGATCCTGTCCTGTCTATTGCATCACCGGACCGTGCCAGGTGGTGGCGAATTCGGCTCGGGACCTTGGGGCACATAGGGGAGAATCGGATGCTGAGTTGTCGTTGTCGTGTCTGACCCGTGGGTCTAAAAAAAACAGTGACTCTGGTGACTCTGTGGTGTTCCACCGCGGAGTTCGGCTCTTCCAAAACCGGCGCAGGTGTTTGAACCACCCGGTGGTTTTCACCCCGGTGGTCCCGCCTTAGGCGGCGCTGAAGGCGTGGAAGGTGTCGACCGATCGACCTCGATCCCAGGTGGCTCCGTTGCTGGTGGCGCAGCTGGTGGTGAGGGCCTGGGATAACCCACCGCGCGCCAGGGTTCAGGTTCAGATGGGTTCGTATTGGCTATGACCCAGACACTCCATGGGACTGCCATATGTGCCTACATTGACCCCCCCAAACCACCCCAATGTAAGCATATGTAGCACACATGGAGTGTTTGGGTTCATAGATTATCAGATATTTACACTTCTGACACTTCAGTGATATTCATTCTGTGTGCATGGTTTTGTTGGGGGGTCTTCATGCCATGCAGAGACACACCTCTAGAGATGCGTCAGGTGATCTGTGTGGAAAAGGTGACACACAAACTTTTAAAATTCTCTTCGTTCGAACCTGAGGCCCAATGATCCCAATGAGCTTTCCTTGATATGACATGTATTCTTGTACCAAGGGAGTCTAACTGGATGTCTCCCAATTCCACACCCGTGCCCCGTACTGTGGAGCGCAGGCGCTCTCGGCTCTCCCAACTCACGGCCACACTGCCATCTTCGCACACCTGGGCTGTGGAGCGAGCCCTGACTGGCCCCTTTGGCCCGCTTTTGGAGCTTTGGCCCTTCCACTCGCCGCGTACCGAGGCCATGAACGAAGACCTTCAGGTGACCCCACAGCTGGCCACAGACGCCCAGCCGACTCAGACAGTTGAGCAAAGCTGGAGGGCTGGTGCTGCCAGTCCTGGTGTGTGAAGAATCGTTAGTTAGTTTGGATGCCCCTGAATCATTCTGGGACCAGTTGTCTCCTGTCAGGTATGGATTGTCAATTCATTCTTTGGAAAGGGTCAATCAAAGGTGCATCAATTCGCTGTGCAGGTGTTTGTTCAGCCTTTTTTGGACTTTCAGTCCTTTCCTTGAGCCAAGCACAGCTCGAGGCGCCATGGCCATGATCCGTAGCTAGGAAATGCTAGAAAAAGCAGATCCAAGCAATGCCCTCAATGTTGATCTGAGGAGTGGATTTTCTACCAGTTGACCGTGAGTATTCTCATCACCGAGGCCTTTTTGTGTTTTTGGGCTGTGCGCATGTGAGTCGCCAGGACCCCTGGGACCCTGGGTTTGCTAAGGACCCCTAAGGCCCTATGAGTCGCCATCTTTGCTAACAGATGGGATGGGTGACTCATGGGTGGGGTGGGGTCTGAAAGTCACACAGAGATGGAGCGTGGCGCGGCCGCTAATGGGCAGCTGAAAAAGAGAGAGTGCTGGGCAATTCATTTTCCCTGGATTGGAAGTTAAGATATTTTGATATATTGTGTACCTCTGAATTATATAGTGATTATAGTGGTGAAGTCGGTGGTGTTTTCAAGGGTGTTCAGCCTCGAGAGTTTGACGTGATGTGATTAGAGTTCGAGAGTTGAACGGTGCAACATGTTGTTGTTTGCCAGACCTCTACATGGGGTGCACCAGACCGATGTCGCGCCTGATCAATACCGGCCTATGGATATCTAGGTATGGTGCACCAGACCTATATAGTCCTGCTATGTCCGGACCTGCTAGATCTTGTACGTGCTCTACCCAGCCTGGACATACTGGAGCGGCTACTTCTTTGTTCGCCAGAGCAAGTGCGCCGACGTCGGGATCGGAGAGCGGGTGCGCTTTTTTTTGTGTGGACTGAGAAGTGAACCATGGAGTGCATGTGACTAATCATATCTTAACATATCATGATCATTTCTTGCATGACACAAGAAAAAAGCACATTGGTGACATGCATTGTGTGGCGATTCCATGATAAGAGTTGGGTATATAATATCAGTCAATGGTTTTGTTATGTTTTGTTTTATCGTTGCTGTGCAGATGTTGCATGTTCACATCAGGCTCTTCACTTGAGAGATGCCTCTGAACGTCAAGTTCCACATTCTTTTAATTTCATATGACAACTGTAAGGGAGACATATCAAATGATAGCGTATATTTAAAAACATGCTAGCATAGCAATGCATAGCATATCATAATATCATATCATAATATCATATCATGTCATATCATATCACATCAAATCATATATATATATATGTTATATAATACAATCGTCGAGCTCGGGATAAGACTATATAAATCAGTCGAGCTTCAGGTACATTACCGTCAGAGAAGGCCAACCGGTCGGATTCCCAGTTCTTCAGGCGAGTCTGCGACGGGTTCAACGAGGCTTCTCCACGGGCTCCTGTCGGGAGTCTGCAGCGGGGGCGAAAAACATCTCTTGTAATGTGGTTTTTCTCCGGTGACTGTGATGATTTTTCACTTAGGATCAACCTCCAAATAAGGAGACGTCGAAAGAAACCCAGAAAAGGTAGCTATAGACTAAGGAACATTTAGATGAAGCTCGTGGGAGATACCGATCTGAGACATTTGGTGGCTGGCTACATCAGTGGTTATTTTAGAGTGTTATGTCTCCAAGTGTGGATATCTATGGATCATCAGGACAGAAAGCACCATGAGATATCATAGATATCCATAGCAAACACGTTTTCTATGGATGTCATATGGATATCTATGAAAACACCGTGCGAGCTGCTTCGAGCTGCTTCGAGCTGCCACGTTCGGGTCACCAGAGCCCTGTTCAGTTGGCCGAGGCCCTGACCAGTGCTGAATTCCCTGTAGCGCAAAGGCGAGGGGACCGTGCGAGGTGGATGGAGGGGAGAGTCCGGGCCCGTCCACGGGGCTTTGAGCACCCCCGGGACCCGCGGGATGCATCTTGGGGTAGTAGAAAACCTCTCATTCCTGTCTCACAGGGTATGTAACAGAGTCAGAGACCATGTAGTTTCAGGTTGTATAAGGTTAGATGATGTACATAGCAGGAATAAAAACGAAATAAGATGCGGGTCAAAGCTCAAAAGTACCATTGGGGTGAGCTCAAATGTTGACCCCAAAGGTGTTACCATGCGCTGCGGGGCTGAACAAGCGGGGGTAGCCAGATGCTCCACTCCACAGTCACTGTGGTCAAGGAATCCTGCAAGCTGTTGGTATTCGAGGCTGATTTTTGCACGCGCGAAGGAGTCGGAGAAGGTTCATGAAGTCGTTGATCCTTCTATGGGCAATCGTTCTTCCTCTCGTTTTCTTTTGACACAGTTGGCTGGCCGGGTCTACTCATGTACTCTGTAAGCAGGCTGCCGGCACAAGTTTGGTGGAAGCAACAGTGACTTCGCCCGTCATTTGTCGTCAAGCATTGTTCCAACATAGCAATAACGGCGAAAACTTAGATAACCATTGTCTATAATTATAATGTAGGCGACAATGCGTTATGTTGCAACCAAAACGATACATTCTTTGCACGCAAATGTCACTCGTTTGCAACCTCTGTTCGGTTCCGAGCGTGGAGGCGAAAATCACCGGGAAGTCCCAAAGGTCCTGTCGGATGCTGTGGAGTTCTTTGAAAGCAGGATTTGATGTTCAAGGGAATGTAAGAGAACATCTACAAAAAACCATGCTTTCTTCCCCAAAACCATTAGTTTCCTGTCGACTTCCCCTTAAAAAGAAATCTGGGGAGCAGGATGTGACAACCTGTGTCTTGACAGGTACGTGGACACGTTGTTGACCGTGACCATGGTTTTCGTGATGCTGGTCGTCGACCATCAGTCCATCTTCACCATCGGCTCGGGGGCCCACGATGTGTCGGAAGATTGCTGTCATCAATTGGCACCTTGGGAAATGCAGCAAGGGCTCTTGATGTTGGCTTGAGAACGACTTTGTCATCTGTTTTTTAGCGTTCTTTGGTGACACATGCACATCACGAAGCATTTTGTGAAGAAAATTTTGTGCCACCTCTTGCAAGTGGTAAAGAAAGCAGTCGAGAACGTTTTCGGCATGCTTTTGAATTCATGTTAAGTTAGTTATGACGCCATGTGGCGAATTTGGATCGCATCTTGATTCCTTGATCGATTGCAGCGAACCATTTCTTTGCAAGAGGGTGCCGATCCCATTGCGGGTGTTGTGCGGTATTGCACTGCTGTCATGAAGCTCTTGTGGTGGAAAGCTACATCTATCGTTGTTGGAATCATTTGGAATCACATGCATCGGTGTGAAAATTTGCCCTGCATAGTTGGAATATGTTGGAATATTTTAAGTGATCCGTTACTCTACCTCATCGGACTTCAAGTATGTGAGTTGAGAAAGATTGAGAAAGCAGGCGACGGACCCGACAGACCTCCTCAGTTACGACCTTGAAGCGTCTCACGTGTTTGTGGAGAAAAGTCTCATATGTTCCCAGGACCCCAGGACTGGCACCAGGTTGACCCAGGGTCTCCAAAGGTCTAGTGGAGAAGAATCTTGCTTCACCAAAACAAGCCCTTCTTTCTTTATACACAAATGACATCAAATGACTCATTGGATAGCATTTCTATGGCATCTACGTGTGAACGTTCTATGCATCTACGTGATGAAAGGCACCTGAAGCGGCCTGCCCTGTAAGACGAAAGCCGTTCGGAGGGGGTGAGATCCTGATGTTCCTCTATGGCATCTACATGTACTTGATCGACAAGTACTTCTTCTTGTGGCTCTTGGCATGTCTGGACATTCGAAGCTCATGCTCATCCAAGCTCCTCCACCCACCGCGGGAGAAGCTGGATGAAGAGGTTTAGCTGGATGAAGCTGGGGTGTAGGTCTTGCTCCATGAAGTACACAGCCCTGCGTAGCAACTCCTAGCAGCTAGCACAAGTACTGTACAGGGTCAATACAGGAAGAATCACGCTCAATCATTGCCTTCATGAAAGCATCTCCAAGCACTGCGATGTGGCCCCCTGGGCCGTTTCTCCAAGAAATTCTGTCGTTTTCTCCTGTTTCCACCAGCCCTGGCCTGCACGACATTCTGCCGTTTCGGCCTACATCGTCGCACACAAATGATCAGAGAATCCGTCGCATGGAACCCATCCATCCAATATGGGCGTATGTTCAGAATCCGGACCCATCGGCGATCCCGGGGCCTCGGCAGGCGGGTCAATCGCCAGACTTACTACACCAGCTCTTTGCTGGATCTCACTGCACCCCGGCGAAGCCCAAGTGTAGGCTTGGAAGGGCAGCCATGGTGATGTTCAAGAACAGGATGGTCACCCTACCTATAATATATTCATCACATGAAGACATGCATGAGAAAGGCTTGCCAGCATTGGTACTAGTATTCTTGCTGATGACGATTACTGCATTATTACACAATACGATTGCTACCTGCAACGATCTCTATCATGTTTGCCACCACCAAGGTACATTACCTTTGGGCGATACCCATGTGCCAAGCTCAAGCTATCTCCGTTCGACTTTGAGTTCTGATGTGCTTGGGATTTGATTCACTTCGTCTTTCGCAAAGATCCATGGGTATCCCATGGTGACACCTGCATGAGGTGCTTGCTGGTCTTGCTTCCGGTACGGCAGCTGGACAGCTATTTCCATCAAGCTTGGATCAAGTCCTGTGTCGTGGCGCGGTCGCCGAGGCGCTATTTGAGCGGCAGACGGCGAAGGGCAGCCATTGATTGTCACATCCCCCAAAGGAAGACAGCAAGGCAACATCGGCCTCATGCAAGGCAACATCATACAACAACATCAGCATACCGAAGCCAATGTCAGTTTTTTTGTTTTTTTACTGCTACTGCGCCTCTCTCAGCACTTTGGAACTTGAAGAAGGCTCCACCCAGGCTGAATGCTCTTGGAATTGTGCTTCTTCGTTCGATGATGTGTTCCCAACAGGACGGAAGACATCTGAACTTCTTAGAAACGGGAAGTTTCTGGGATTCCAGGTGTGGTTTCGTGATTACTGTACGTGTTGATGCGTTCGATCTTCACTTGGATAATTGTTGGATGGTTCGAGCAGAAGTGAAGGAAGAACCGCTCGACGAAGCTTTGCGTGACGCTGCCATCGGTCGCTCCTAGAGGCGCACGAACTTCTCCACCAGATCTGTCGGTTTTAGCTTTGCCTCACTATGTTCCTATGCCTATGACAGATGTTCTGACCGAGGTTGGAGTGGTTGTTCTTTATCTTGTGATGGTTCGGATTTGCAGCTTGCCAGCAGAGGAAGAAGGATAGGTCTTCCGCTTCGACATGTCTTGTGTTTAGGCCATGATATAGAGTGGGTTGAAGCATCATTACATACAAATGTCAAGTCGCGCGCACTACCTTGTCAGTAGTGTACAGCCTATGTGAAACTACTCTGTGGACTACTCGGTGAAGATTGCGCACTACCTAGTTTTGCTTGCATTGTGCTGAACCATGCTTTGCAGGCTTTCTTGGCAAGACCGAATGACTGACGTTTATGACATGTTATGACCATTCCTTCCGAGAAAAATACAATGAAGATATTTGGTCGATGACCATCCAAGCTATCACATATTGTATATGTTCCCACATCAGGCGGCATGGCACAAGTAACCAAGGAAAAGCCCTTTCACATGAGGATAAAAGCTCAACAAATCTTTGGTTTGCAGAATTGCTCATTTGTAGGGGCGAAGACGGCTATTGCTGAGTTGGCTTTCTTTTGAAGCATTGCATGGCCTTGTGGCACTATAGTTGTTAATGTATAGTTCGTGGATTTATAGTTCCGCATTTTTGTGAAGTGACAAGTAGGAGTAAGGTGATGAAATGGATGATTTGCTTACACATGAACCACTATAATATACATTGGTTGTGGATTCATTGCTTTTCCTGGAGATTGGAGGACAATGGAAACTGAATGGAACTGGGGACTGAGGAGCCTAGTGTCTCAGAGTCTCAAAGTACCTCAGGACCATCTAGGACCAAATTAGGACCATTTTTGAAGTAGTTGCCCCATCTTGTACCCATGATATCCATTTGTTGCATGCCAGGCGTACCATGCAGTACTACCCAGTACTACCCAGTAGTACCAAAGGATTTCCTGAACCAACCGGATAGGTCCAGGTGCTCAACCGCGGCGGAAAGACCACCGAGGTCAAGCCTGCAACCAACCGCGCCGCGAACTGACCGATGTACCATACGTTGAGGCAGGCAGCTGAAAACAGAACTGGACAGATGAGGAGCTTTCGATGGAGATTTGGAGCGAAGCTGCTGTGCTTTTCTGGGATTTCCTACTGAGTCATTAGGACGCTATGAACAGAGCAAAGGGCATCGCTACTAGGAGCAAGGACGCTACTAGGGGCTTTTGGCCTTGCTACAGTACTAGGAACAAGGACGCTACTAGGCTGCTGTGCCTATACTGAGTTGATATGAGTCAGACTGGATGAAGACTTGTCGAAGAAAACTCGACGGATTCCACCGTAAATTGAACCTATTGGTAAATCCACTCTGGTGGCCTTCGCTCGAAACGATTCACCTGACTCTCTTGGAGACGCAGAACGGGGCCATGCGGTGTTGGTCAGCTCTAGCAGAAACATGCAGAAACGGTTTTTTGTCAGCACGTTCTGCGCCGCAGAACACGAGGTTCAGTGGCGCAATCTGTCCAACATGCTTAAATAATCTTATATTATATATAGATCGACCACCAAAGAGACCAATGAGGGGTTCTCCGAAAGGTCTTCAGCTAAAATCGTATGATATTCATGTGAGCAGTAGTTTCCCTCTTTGTTCTGGCTGCTAGCCACATGAATCTACACCTGTGTTCGCTGTCTTGCCGTTATTATGTGAAAAAGATCATTTCCTCATTGCCGTTCTGTGTGCGCAGGTGGCCAGCATACTGCCCTGCAACTACTTCAACACCAATCATGCTCATGTCCTTCGAACTCTGCATTTTCCGTCGATTGCCCGGGCCTCGTTTTACACAAAACACGTCGTTGCGTGACGTTTGTGCTGATTTTTTGGAGAATCCTTGAAACAAGAGGCAGATCCAGTGGCTTTTCAGATTGGAAAGATCGAGTGGTGCAGAATCTTCAAAGCACAGATAGGTGATTGAAAGTGAAAATGAGATGCACCCAAGAATACTGTGCTTGGTAGTTCACCGATGTTCACTATTCTTTTTCCAAGCATCATATGTCTCAGCACTAATTGCCACTGTATGTTGCTGGCAATTACCAAGAGTGGAACTGCAAAATCTGAAGACACGCCAGAACAATTTGTCAAACATGGGATTCTCCCACTTCCCTTGGTTTTCGCGGCACCTGGGTGTTTTGGTTTGGACAGTCACACACCACCGCCCCCATGGTGTTTTTCCGCACCTCAAGCGCCGAGGTCATTCCGCCGGTGTATCCGCACCTGCCTGGCAAAGAGTACCTACATGGCCTGGAACTTGGAGACGGAGTGGGTTCCGTTCGTTGGCGGAGTACCTACTCGGTGCACAAAGAAGTGGAGTGTGGAGGGGGATTGTCCCGAGATAGCAGGTGAGGTGAACACTTCTATAAGCTTGTAGTGAATTAATTCGCTATGTTTGAAGATGTAGTGAAGCTCCTTGAACATGAATGAGCCTGCTGAACTCTTCGGTCTTGGAACCATGCTCCTTTGAACTAAGCAACATCCATTTGGATATTTTTGGCCTGAACCATGTGCCATTTTGCCTCGCCAAAACGCGGGCTCTTTACGGGCTAGCTCAAGTAGTGAGCAACGTGTTCTATCGTAAAGGTATCGGTACATGCTGCTGGTCCTGGTGTTCTACGTGGCCCCGTCGTCAGTCGCTCACAGTCGCTCACTCGGCTCATGTGTAAGTCGCTTGACGAGACGAGGTGGCCAGTTTGCGGACTATGATGATAGCGTTCGCCTGGAAGCCTGAGAGCAGCTATCGTCCGTGACAAAGAGATCATTTCATCTCAGTTTGCAAGGACATGTGGCTGTTGCAAAGAAGCATAGTGACTTTGACACATCTACGTGCTGGCCTTCCTAGATAAACAGACTATTTGCCACCAGAAGACACCCTGAACAGCGTCTACATCATTCACCTGATAAATGTTCTCAGCATACCTGGGGCAATCACGGTGTTCTACATTTTTCCCACGCATCCTGACCATGCGAACTGGGTCTGCCGACCAGAGATCTGAGGCCTGCGAGAGACCTTGCTGCTGTTGGCCAAGGGCCCCTTTAAAGGCCTGGATGACTTTGGAAACCCACAGGACTGAGCTTTGTGAGCCCACCTTGGCCTCTCATGGGGGGTGCAGGGAATTGTTCACCATAAAATGATGCTGGTCCCTCATTGAGATGTTCCTCATGGGACTTAAAACTGATTTATAGGAATGGGCGAATGCAACAGGACAGTATTTTGTTCGGACAAACGTGTAACGTGTGGAGAGAGACCATGGTGAATGCGACAGGAAGAGACAATCAAAAATTATAGTGTATAGGGGTAGTTTTAGGATGTTTTAGGGAGGTGTAGGGGAGCCCCGACCACTTGGTTCTTGTCTGTTTATGTGCTTCTTCCAGGGGTCTTTGTGAGATATCTCTAAAACATATAGTTAAATTGTTTTATAGGAGTTCAACAAATACGGAGACCTCAATCTACACACTACATGCAATGACCATTGACGACCATTCTCGATTCGCAGTGGCCAAGTGTACTCTTCTAACAGGATTCTAGGACACTCCCGTGCAACAGCCAAGCAGCCAAGGTGGGGGCAACATGGGGCAACCAATTTGGTCGTTTGCATTTTGTTGCACAGTTATTGCATGCACTGTTCCAGACACTCCATGCATGGCATATTCACCTACATTGACCCCAGGTCAACCACCCCTGTCTGTATGTCAATGCCGGAGTGTCTAGGTGTTCCAAGCTCCACACCTGTCCGTGCATGCAGAACCAGTGGGACTCCGCCGCAGTCGGAGGGCCAAGTCCTTGTGTTTTCGTTCGCTGCTCCACGCAGGACTGAGATGCGATGCTGGGACTCCCAAAGCGGAATGTCAATGCTCACAGCAGGTGCCGATTTTCTCCATTGACAGCAGAGACAGACCGAAGAAACAAGGTGGATGTTGTTTAGGTCGTCATTCATTCCAGTATATATCTTTGCCATGGTCATAGATGATAGGTTTGAATTTGAGCTGCCAACGGGGTGTCCGGCATTGAGCCATGCTGTCTCCTAGCCGGATTCACCGCTCATAAGCAGAGGTGAAAGAGTGCGACGCGCGTGTGCCAAAGTGCAGGGAAACAAAAGGAATCGTGGATGGATCGATCCAACCGTGTTGAGTGGAATAAGGTGGATCGATCCAAACGCTAGCAGTATGGCACGATGTTTGAGCTTTGCATCCGTCGGATCGCAGCGTTCTCTGGGGACTTCCCTGTTTGATCTCGTTCTCAGCGTTGGCTTTGGCGACGCGACCGCCGACGCTGAGTTCAACACATCGACGCGACGGGCGTTCGCTCGCGACGCTTCGTTCCCATCAGCGATGCGACGCGGTCGAACGATGCTGCGCACGACTTGACGCGGTCGAACGATGCCGCGGGCACGTTTCGATGGCCCATCGACAATGTCTTGGTCTTTTACTGTTGTGGCTCCTCCCGGGGTTGATGGGAGTCTTCGATTCTTGAAAAAGCAACCCAATTGGTTGTGACAAATGGCTGTCACGACCAGCAGTTGCTTTTCCTCCCAACTCCACACACTGCTGTCGATCTGATTGACCCCTTGGGTTCATCCCAAGAGAAGAGAATGATTGGCTCAAAGGACATCGGTCACGCACCTCAACATCGATGACTCTCGGACCATCGATGGGTCTTCGGATCCTCAGAACGCCTTTTTCACCGCTCACCGGAACCTCTGCGTCGAACGCGTCCGCGACGGTCGCCAGTGGAACGTGACGCGGAACGACCGCCGCGCCGCGCCAGTTGACGTGTGGCTCCGTCTGGACAGCGACGCTGCGCGCCGCGACCCATCGCCCGACCGATACCGGTCTGAGCGACCCCATCGGCCGATCGATGTCGCGTCTGCTTTTCGACCGACACGGGCAACTTCGAACGAGTTTCCAACGGGTACCGCGTGCACACAGCGATGGGATCCTTCTGGACACCCACAACAGAACGACGTCTCAGCAAAGCGCAAAGTCCTGGGAAGCGACGGGCGCGTTGCGCGGTTTTCGATTGAAAAATGCCTAATGGTCTCACAGTTTCCGACTTTGTGCGTAAACATGTTGGAATACCGCCCCTTCCCCTTCCCAGCTTGTCTCACACATCAGCATGTCTCTCTTTCCCAAGGTGTAAGTTGCCTCCTTTTGCAGCTGCAGTGCTTCCCAAAATCATTTGCTGCGGCGTACGGCGTACGGGTTTGGATGTACCCTGGAACTTCTCACTGCTGGCTATCCGACCATCATCGACTATCTGCTGGCTATCCAATGATCATGTTCGCCCGCCTGCAGATGTTGTCTTTGTTGAGTACGGCTGTGCCTCAATCTGTTTTTTGTGTTTGCCGATGTAAGTGTTAGACCATTTTTTGTGAATTGTTGTGACTGTCTTCCATGGCCCTCTTGGTTACAGTGGTTTCAGAGTAGATGGCACTGGCACCCCAAGATGTCTTTTAGATGGGGATCCATATAAACCATCTACTCTCAATGATTGTGCCATCTACTCTCAATCCACTGTACTGATTTTGCGCGTTCATTGGCATGAGAAGCGTTGGTTGGAAACGCCGACACCGTGCCGAACTCGCACTGCCAGGGCCGCCAGGGTCTTCGCAGAGCCTGCTCCACGCACCCATGCTACAACCCTCGATTCCGCCTCCCAACGAGTCCGGCCACGGTGGGAGTGCACGGCGGCGCGTGTCCGGGGGCGACTCCAGCATCTCCGGCCGAGCCTGAGATCCACATCTCTCATCTCGGCTGAACGGCGTTTTTGGGGGCCTTGGCTTCGGAGGGAACGGCTTCCAAGAGGGACTGGAGGCATGACCTGGAACTGGACGGGGTGAGCTTCGGACACCTGCAGCTTTTGCGCACTTCTTGAACCATTTTACTGGGACCTCTTCTATTTGGCCCAGGGCGCCTTCACGTCGTTGAAGTTTGTGTTGCTAACTTGAACATACTTCCAGCATGCATCCCACATTCGCAGCATGTCTTTCTGCGTTTTTCTTGCGTCCGTTCGTTCCAGGCTCACGGTGCTTGGTCAATTGACCCACAAAGCCAGAGAAACCGTTCAGCACCCAAAGCCACCCTGGAAGCCTGGGAACCAAACGATTGCACCAAACCCAGACTCTGCCAGACTCACCAAACTAACGACAGGTCACTGATGCTTTTCAAGGAATGTGACAACCCATCTGCCACCGCTGATCCAGCTTTGCCAGCGCAACTTCACCCAGTTTTCTTCAGATTTGCAAACCTGCCGGCCATCTGGACTCCCAAGCACGCTGGACTCCCAAGCCGATTCGGCACCGGCAAAGGCTCCGCAGTTCTGGCCACGGTCCTTTCGGATCCACAGCCTTTTGTCGCACGGAGCCGTTCCAAAGCCGCTTCCGTATGACATGCTTCCGCTGCTTCCGTTGACCCCGCAAAATCATGGAAGTGGACCTCTTGGTAGAGGAAAGAGCCTATCTGAGCAGATCCCCTTGACAATTACCTCTATGAAATGGGGGGGTCAACCCCTGCTAGAAAGCATGAGAGAAAGTGTTAAAACAGAATGCAAGAGTTTTTTTGCATGTCCGTTTTGCCAGAAGCATGCTGAATCCACTGCAAAAAGTTAAGGAAGCAAAAGAGAAAACTAACCATGTTTGGACTCTTGGATGGAAAGGATGAGAGATTTGCACAAGGGTTCAGTGTGTCGAGTACAGATCCCGCACTCGGCAAGCCGGGTTTGCACCAGGCACGAAAGCGATAACAAGGCAATAGCAAAAACGATAATGCAGCGAGCCTAAAACACCTTCTGTAGACAGGCCCACACGTGTGATCTCCATGAATTGATTTCATGTCTACCAGATTCCACGCACCACATGTTGCATGCACACACTATATATCACGCATGCAGCAGTTAGTCAAAGCATTGTAAACGATTGTAAAACAAGGATTGAACCAAAAAATAACGACGATAACGTCAAACATTGTTCGGAAATATAAAGGTTTCTTTGCATAACCTCATGTAATGGAAAGGTGCTTGTGGGAGTCAACCCAGTAATTACTTTCAGAGCCAGTTGCATTACAACATGTTGGGTAAACGGGGGGGTTGCCCGGCAAGCAACATGCCAAGCGCTTAAAGATCATGCGTTTTGGGCTAGTGGGATTATTGTTTTGGAGTTCATGAACTCCACGTTGAGTTTGTCAGCGCTGATCTTAATTATACCAGCATGGACCCCAAACAGCGGTCGTCGGCATCAACTCCGTGAGTTCCAATGTTGGTGGAAACACCTGCAAGTATACTTTTCTATAGCCTGAAGCTGTTTGGGAACTGCACCTAAACAACAAACGTTTGAAAACACTATATAGTTTGTGATGCCCGTGTCACATGCGCAATAGCTATGGGATATCGGATGGATGTCATGAGAATATCCGAGGGTGATATCACATCACGAAAGGTAGCTTGAGTTACGTGAGTTCTCCTTGCTTTAGCAAAAATGTATTACAATCAGGAGTTGGGATTGCGCATTGAATTTGGTCCTGTAAGAGTTGATTCTGTTCGTCGGGGCAAAGCCCCCCCCCTGTATCAAATCCCCCCTGCGCCGGCTCACGCCGTCATGGACTTTTACCAGGGTTGCTTGTGATTGCCTGCTACCTTTCGTTCACCCCCTCCTCTCTCAAGTTTCCAATGCTGTATCACTGTTGCATTCATAGCCGCACGAAAACATACCCAGACAAGGCTGTGGAGAAACAAAAGCGGCTGGGGACAAGGCCGGGACAAGGCGGTGATAAAAGGGCCGACAACGTGGACAAGCAGGACAGGCAGACCTGGACAAAGGACAAGAGGAACACAGGGTTTTCCACGTGGCACGAGGACAGCAGGAGGACGCCCAGGCAAACGTGGCCACTAGAAGCAGGAGAAGGACACCAGGAGGACCAGACAAGGACACAGGTTTCGCCAGCGCGGCCAGAAGACGGCAGCAGCAAAGACAACTGGAGGACAAGAGACAAGAAGAGGACCAGAGGAGGACAAGACGAGGACAAGACGAGGACAGCAGGAGGACAAGAGAAGGACAAGAGGAGGACAAGAGGAGGACAAGAGGAGGACAAGAGAAGGACAAGAGAAGGACAAGAGGAGGACAACAACAGGACAGGAGGACAAGACCCGGACATAGCCTCGCGTCCACCGCTTCAAACATTGAGTCCACACACGGATGTTGACTGAACCACAATGCTGACAGGCCATCCACGTGTTTTGTTTGAAATTTAACCCCGCGACTGCTGAACACCACCATTTTCCGCGATGTTCGTTGGACTGACCGAAGCCAGCACACATATGTAGATACAATGAGATCCCGCGTGTGTGTTTGAAATGGAGCATGTGGCCCAAAGTTCGGACGGCCCATGGGTGGCAACAAAATGAAAAGTAACTATTCACTTTCACATCAGGTCATCGCAAGCAGAAACCGACAAGTTTCTTCGTTACTTGGCCCAAAACCACTTGTCCAACGCACCATTCAAGATCTGTGTAACGACACACTGCTGCCTGTCGTCCCACTGCTGTCGGGGTCTGCCAGTTTTATGTTTTTTTCCTCACCGGTGTTCCAAGTCAGCACGCACTTAGGCCAAGGGACGACAATGCCGTGAAGTCGATGATATTTTTGCGGGGCCGATGACAGTGATGTGAAAAACAAAGAGAGTACGACGCCCTGGAGGTGTGTGTTTTTTCAGTGTTTTTTTGTGTTTTTCGATTTTCAACAGATTTTCTATGTTTTCGTTGCGTTCACCCATCTGGTACACATCACTTGTGCCCATAGCCTGCTGCCCATTTGCCATGATCTTATCAACAGACTTCCTCATCAAGCTTTGAAACACATAGCAGTTGCATCATAGCTGTCATCTTTGGAGGAAGGATAGACTGTA